ATCTGCATGTATGTAATTGTCAATTTAAATCTCGTAATCGACCCTAACACACAGAAGGAGCTTTATACACAATTGACAATTATTACACCATCACCGTTGCAAAAATAAAAACTTTGTCAAATCTAGACTCGTATGGACGATGCATGAAGTCCGAGAGTCTGATATCGAAAATGTGTTTTGAAATTTTGAAACGCACGTCCGCTACATTCTTATGCGTACGGCATGTGCATCGTATTCATGCAATGCGTCCTACCACTTATCGGAACGTACATGCATACACACATTTCCCCTGTATACATTTACACGCGTGACACATGATGCACCACCGAATTTCTCCGCGCTCGCTTACACGGGAGATGCATACTACATATAATACTCATCGAAGTGTGCATATGTGTATGTATGTATATGCCTGTGACAAGTAATATGCACGCGTATCATATTTGCAATTTATGGCCACATGGAGATAAAAGAGAGGTGCTACGTACATACGACCGGCTAGCAATATTATGTGCACGTTTAAATTTTAGATTATATTTACAATTTGTGCGAGTTCATGTGTATTCGGCTGCGTGAGTGCGTATGCGGATCGCCGGTGTATTGACAGAAATGCCTGGCGAGAATGTGTGCGTGTGTGCGCGCACGCGTCATGTATGTACGTGCCGGGTTGCCAGCGTATTTTGTTATATTGATCGCGCGTGGTCGACCACCTCCCCTTCTCCAGCTCAACTCTGCCCCATCTCTCCCTACCCGTCACCCTACCGCGCCCCTGCACCCCGTGCTCACCCCGCCCCTCCTCTATGTCTCGTCCTCGTGTTCCACTCGACGTCACCCGTCCGAAAACCTTCGACTCTCTGACAACCTCCAGTCACACGAATTTTCGTGTGTTAGTTGCATCTACTATGATATACGAGCTGTCGCAAATATGTATCCGAGTTATATATATAGAGAGATTAATGTACATTCTAATGGAAGATTCGTTTCTCTGTGTGGGTGTTTCTTCCTTATAGCGGCAATCGAATTCCTCGTTTCCTCGCCGAAGCGTACCTTAAGTGAATCATGTATTTTGCATGATAGGACGGTAGTACATGACTTGTTTTGTACTGCGAACGATTTGTTACTAATGCAGCAGGTTTA